TAAATAATAGTTAATTTAGTAATATCATAAAAATTATTTAATTACTTAATGTTATAATTGTATATATAATGTACTTAATGTAATTATAATGTACTGCAGGGAGTAGATGTAAAAATGTTCATCATTATAATTTTATTGTACATGCGTACATTTTCCTAAAAGCTAATTATTACAAAAAACAATTACTTGTAAAAAAATTACAACAAATTACTTGTAAAAGAATCGATCGTGGATATACAAGTGTGCGTGCGTGCGTGCGTGCGCGTGTGTGTGTTGTGTACACATATATAGAATGTCATAAGGAAGATCGCGACTATATCGACATGTACATATATCTACTCTGTGCATCACTACGTACATACTATAAATAAAGTCAGACATAGGCGCTCACCACAAAATACTCAAAAGCATATTACTTCCAAATTTGAAAGTATTATCTCAATTACTTGTATTCCGTTTAAGTACCCAGGAATAATTATACAAGATAATTTTTACATTTAAATAGCGAAAAAGAAAAAGTTTATAGTTAGATTTCTTTACTGACTGAAAATCTATATCTATTTTTTTTTTGCCTCATATTTTAAGAAAATAATAAGTAAATTTGTATACGATTTTAAATATTAATAAATTATAGAACAATCAATAGTATGACAGTAATAATTATTATATTAATTTTTACTAAAATTACTTTGAACTATAAATCAATATTTTTTTATTCATTTGAACTGTAGAATATTGGCTTGATATTGTTTAAGATATTTTATTTCAATTTTATTACTTAGTTTGACAAAAACACATATTCTCACTTAATAACGATGAATTTTCTTTTATTATGAGGATGCATATGTGTGAAAGATTTATAGAAATATGTTGCGTCTCACTAGCTCATTATGAGAAAATACATAGAAAAGCATCTTAACATATGCATCTTACTTATATGAAGAATATTTTTCATATAATCATGTAATTTGAAATCAACCAAACGTACTATTTATATTCTGATTTTTATGCAACTGAAAACTGTGAGTACAAAACATCTTGCGACTATTATTTTCGTATACATCCCATATTTAATTATGTGAATATATCATCTTAATTCGTTTTTATTAAGAATCTCATATTTGCTCGTTTATTGGTCATTTTTTCTTATTATAAAAAAAAATTAAAAATGTAATTTTTATTTATATCTCCTTGAAAAAGATACTAATTTAATTTTTATAACTTCTTAAATTTTTTTCAATGAATGGATTTTGATCAGATTTAAAAAAATTAAATTAGTATCTTTTTCAAGGAGATATAAATAAAAATTAAAGATGTAATTTTAATACTATTTGGCATCACATACATTAAAATAAATATAATTCAGCTATAATCTAAAACATGTATAATAAATAAATATTATGATTTTATATATGTATAACAAATTATAAAGAAAAAATTACACAGCAGTAAAGTTATACAAAGAAGCCGAAATTGTAGAATGAAATAAAAAAATGAAGATGATTAATTGCTGAAGTATGCTAATTGAGAACCTATTTAATAAATAATTTTAAAAACTATAATTTAAAAAATCATGAACAATTAAAATTACAAAAAAAAAATGATTTTTTTCAAGTTTTTGATACTATTTGGCATCACATACTTTGCAATAATTTATTCTCTTTTTATGAAAATATAAAACTACGGAAAATTGCAAAAAGCAATTATGAAATCTTTTAGTAATCTTTAAGATGTTAGCGCGATAGGAACTATTACGAATTATACAATTTTTAAATTGGCTTTATAGACTACAATTTTTACAGAATTAAAATATGCACAAATAGAAAGTCCGAATGAGTCGATTTCACAAAAAAAATCGAACAAAAATAATTTATTGTTTAATAATTTAATTAATAACTTAATTAATAGCTGAGATTAGAAATTGCTTGATATGAAAGATTTATAATTATGAGTAGCATATAATAGTAATAGTATTTAGCGGATCTCGAACAAATATTAAATTGTCAAACTAAAATCGAAAGCCTAGAAAAAATATATTAGCTTAATTCACGTGTATAAGTATGCTTAACGAAGATTTAGAATGGTAAACAGAGAGCAGTAGATTCGTAGTTCGATCTCGTAAGAGTAGCACTGCAATGTATTAGATAAAGATATATGCCTTTAATTGAGACAGAACGATATTGTAAATGATTAAAGATATTTTATTATGTCGACTTTTTTATAATTTGGAATTAAAAGAATTTACATTATTGACGTCAAAGTTCGACTGTCGCGTTAACATTTTCTGAATAGAATTTTTTGAAAAGCATATTCTTTTTTTTTTCAGCCTAAAACGTTTTACATTTATTTAGAGAAATAAAAAAAGTTGAATCAAAATTCAATTCTATTGTAGAATTAATAAAATCAAAATTTTATTGTAGAATTAATGATCAGAAAAAAATGATCCGATTTTGAAAATATCGACGCCAATGAGGCATAAGTAATTATTGCGTCAGCTATCGCGGTACGACGTACAGCGGTAGTGATTGGCCGCGGTTGTGATGCGGGAAATCCCCGTTGAAACCTGTTCAACCGCGACTGTCCCACTGTAGTTTCATATTTGTTTTCTTCGTCATTCCCTGTCGAGTAGAGATTTGGAGACCTCGTGCTCACTGTGCTCAGTCCAGTTCAGTCGTTTATGAGAGACGCGCGGTGGAGCATTATTGTCATCGCAGTTATCGTTGCTTATCTGATTTGAAATAATTGTGTGTCCTATTCCATATTTTTAATCAAATATCTCAGAACGATGAGTTTATTCATGCAATATCGGCACGTACTTCATAAATTACCGCGCGTTTAATTCTCGTACGTGTAATTATTGTCGCTATGCAAGTATAATATATACTACTTTTAACACGAGCGCGCCTGACTCACTGATAGTTCTCGCTGATATTGTATGACAAAATTAAAGTGATAGTGTCAGTGCTGTCACGTGAAAATGGATTCGTTTAATAGTTACGGCAGGAGTGACTTGGAAGTGAGTTTAATAAGAACGCATAATTTACATAATATTTGTTATTTTTTTAAGCACTCTAAATCATTTACGTGATCGCCGTTTTTTCTTCTGTTTTGTTTCTCTTATATTCTTTTCCCTTTTATTCGTACATTTTTATATCTTTTCCAATATCTGTCTCAGACTTAAGTTAAAAAAACACAGTGTAAATTTATCACTTCGTTGAAACTAAGCAAAAAAAAGCTGTATGTATATTAGCTCTATATAATTCAAATTAAGAGAATAACAATTTTAGCAGATCAAGTAACTTTGTTCTTGTTAAGTCATGATATATACATTAATTTTTACATTCTTTTTCTGTAACTAAAGATAGCTCGTACTATTTCCGTGATATCACTATTTGAAAAAAACTTTTGAAAACTTGAAAATCATAGAAAAGATATTTTTAGGATTGTAACGTAAGATCAAACAAGATTATAAATATCTGGATAACATACGAAATATCGAATTATACGATTATTTAAAAAATGCAAATATTTAATTTACCCAGATGAATTTTAATATCGAATTTTAAATCGAAAATTTCAACTTTCCAAATTACAATAAATTGATAAGGGAACTAAATAAAAAAAAAAAGGTGAAACGCAATATGGTAAAATTTATGGTAATTATAGGGTAATTTATAAATTAACTTTTTATACAGTATATTTGGTAAGAGTGTAGACTGTTATTTTTTAGAATAATGATTATAAAATTTTTTTAAATAAAATTATTTTATTAAAATAGAAAAAGGTTAATATTAAAAAGTTAATAATTATTAAAGTTAAAGTTAAATTTAATAAGTTAAATTTAAGTTTAAATTAAGTGTTAAAGTTATTTTGCTTATAATCTTATGTATTATATAAGGTGACTTAAATAAAAATTTTAAAATATTAAAAAAAATTTTAATAATTATTTGTCGTGAAAAATTCAATAACAAAATGCAATAAAATATGAGTTTCGGTAGTTGTTTATGAGATATTGTCATTTTTGTACTTTTATATTTTCTTCAAACTTGATTTTTTTCTAAAACGAACGTGAAAATGATCCCAATTTAATTATTTTTGATGTTCGCATTATTAGTCTTTTTCTTCCCTTCTCACTTTCATTGTTCCTTTTCTATCCCTATTCTCCTTCCACTCTCATTTCCTCTCTCAACAAGATATTATAAAACATCAGAATATCGCTCACACATTACAATATAACATTGATAATTTCTAACGGAACTGTTTTCAATTTTCTTAATTCTAATCGCATTTGCCGCTATTAAATTAATTTGACGTATTGTTTCAATTACTGGATTGATTATTCTGGCTAAACCTTCACATTGAGGAGTATATGTACAATAATTTTATTTATCACACATTCTTTAATATAGTTGTCAATTAAATAAAGATGATATATACTAAGAATTCTGAATATAACGACCATTTATTCATTGTCATATTTTAATTTAATTTTTACAATCTATTGTAATTTGATATTACAATAGATATTACAATAGACTATTAATTTGATAATAGAATGTGTGCTTGGAATGACTACATGTTCAACTAATTTTATTATCATTACGGACAAATTGCGACTGATGTAATAGAAGAATGTAACTACGAAAATGACATGAAGATTGAAAGCATTGCATTGTTACGACTGAAAATAGATATGAAGAGATAGGTCCATTACTTTGCGTATATAATTATAATTTGCAGAAATCATATTTAACAGTTTTATGATTTTTATTAAATTTGCGTTAATTTATCGACATGTATACACTTAAGATAATCTGACAAATAGGTCGAAATGTATATGTTTTTAATTTAAATATACGAAAAATTTGACTCTTAGTTCTTTTGTTAATCATTTACATTTAAATAAGTTTTAATTTACATTTTGAAGTTTTAATTTTAATTGATGAATACAGCGTCTTATTGTTGCTTATTAATTAAAATTAAATTTTTTATTTTAATTCTGTTTTAAGTTGATTTTAAATTTTAATCCTACTTTTAAATCAATTTTAAATTTTAAATTCTATGATTGTAGATATATCCATCGTTTATTAATTTACACGAAGATGAAAATGATCATTTACTCTTGGACATGGATTCTTTAGTTCCCAGACGAAGCAATTTCCTAGCAAGCCGTGGTTGTGAACCAATTAAGAAGAAATGCTCATTCGGTAATGTAATAAGAATAGAAAAAAAATCAATTTCGACTAATTTTTTTAATTTTTAAAAAAAAGAAGGATGTCTTATGAACATGCGTGGACATATTTTATATATGATTATATAAATATGTTTATGAATATTTATAAATGTATATGTATGTTTATACATGTTTATATCTATTCATGTATGAAAAATTTTTTATCGAGAAGTTAAAAGTAAATTTCTTAAATTTACGTAACATATTTTAAATCTGCACGATAATTTTACATGATTTTACATGATTGTTGCTTTAAGTAAATTTAATCTTCATTAATTATTAAATTAATAAAAGCGTATTTTATCTCACCATTCGTAAAATTTTTATTATTTTTTTGCTACCTGTTAACTGACTCAACCATGGCATACATTGAGTTGTCATGCATCATAAAAGTACTAGGTGGTTATGTCTATCATATTTTTTGCTCCTAGTGGAATTAATTCAAACTTAAATTATCGGAAGCACCTTATATTGATGGAAATAGACTTCAGTATTTTTTTAATTCGAAATTATTAATATAATAGGCGAGGGAGGGGCTCCACAATATATTAGATTTTCTAACTTAAATAAACGCCAATTTTAAGGATTAATATCTCGTTTCCAAAAGCAGAGCAACTTTTTCTGGCAGATTTGTTCATTTTATTAAAAGATGCATCGATTGGTACATTTTTTAAATAACATTAACTTTTTAAATAACATTAACTTAATTTTATATGTAGAATATTAAAAAATTACATAATCCAGTTTAAGGCGATATTTTATATAAAAATTATTTTTTAAAAAATTATTTTTCCGAAAATGTAACCTGTTGAGATTTGTCGATACATATACAGAAAAAAATGCGTGATATTAGGATTAACGACTAATTTACTTTTTAAAAAAGATAAAAAAAAGCGCTACGTTCACCTCAAAAAAATAACTATTGTATTAATTATGAATTATAAAATTATAAGTTATAAAATTATAAATTATAAAATCTAAATGATATCATCTTTATCTATATCTGTACTAAATTAAAAAGTAAACCCAAGAGTGACACTATTTTTTTATAAACAGTAAATAAAAAGAGCATACGTCATACACTAGATTTGATCGTAGCGCAAAGTTACATATTTAAAATTTATTATGTTAAATGTATAAAAATTATAGATGTTTTGATCAAAATTGACCATCTGCAGTATATCAAATAAAACAAGAAAATGATATAAATAAATTTCTTAACAATAAGTCTCAGATAAATAAAATGATTCGAATAAATTACATAAGAATCAGATAATTGAAACACACTAAATTTCACGAATGTTAAATCAACTAGTTACAAAGATAAATTTCAACAGCTTATTAATCAATTTAGTTTAATTCAATAATATATTTTCATTCTGTAGAAATTCTTGTCGATTACTTCGCTTTAATTAGTTATTCAGAGATTCTTTATCGGTATTATATTATTGATCGTTGTATAAACATCACAATTTCCAAATTCTAATTAAAATTATTATAACTTTAGTTTGTTAAATTAGTCATTGAAAATAAAATCTAGTATATTTAGTATACCTGTGTTATGACCAACAATTATTACAAGATCATTCCGTATGCAGAAAGTCAAGACTGCAAATAGAAGATGGAAACTTTATTTTAACAAGAGTGTATAATTTTCTGTAGATATCTTTCCGAGCTACCTATATTTATATGATTGAAAAGGAAAGAAAAAAATATTAAAGAGAGTAACTTTTGTAGGAGAGGGACATTTATCTAGTATAGGAAGATATGTTAGGTGTCTGCTCTGTATCGTTCTAATACCGCATATATGTATACTAACACAGTGAGTTAGAATCTCTCTATCCTACTAATATCAATAATAATAATAATACCAATATTTGTATTTGTCATCACAACAAAGCAGTATGTCTAACGCGTTCTCGTGTTTTTCTTGTCAATTCGAACAACGAATCTAATAGTAAATTATTAAGAAAAAAATAACTTCAAGAGATAATTAATTTATCTTTCCAATTTTCTTATTTATTTGTAGTGAATTAAGGTTTAAATTACAATACTTTCTTACTATCTGCGATTACCGACGTACTCACTGGGATTTTCCTCGGACTTTTTAACATTAACGTGTTATAACGTTTTATGAAAAACTGTTATATACTGATTTCAGCATTTAATCGTTCGATCAATCTAAAACATTTTGCATTCAAAACGTATTATTATATGATTTTAATAAAACATGCATGGATTGATAGATATTGCCTGTAGGTATTGTCTAATTTTAAATTCGTTTTGATAGGTGACGAAAGCGAGGAAATCGATGGCACTGGATGGTCCGACAAACCTATCAGAACCTGGTGTCAAGAGGAAACAATAAATTGGCTTATGTCAGCCGCATCATATATCGGTCAACCTTACAGCTCCATTCAGCACAGTCTTGCCGTATCTGGGAAAGAAATTGTTACTTTTACGCGAGAAGATTTTATTAATCATGATCCTGTGTTCGGAGACCGATTGTACAATCTTCTCCATTCACAACGTATATCAAACCTTTGTATGTATACACGTTGCTACATTTATAAATATAATATATTTATAGATTTAAAAAATGGTCGAAAACTTCGAATTCAATATAACGATAAATTCAGATTTTTCATATTCCTAATTATATAAAGATTTCTAAAAAAGAATATCCCTTAAATTTATTTAGATGTTTGTAAGTTTTCTTTGGAAATTATAAAATGAGAAATCTTAAATTATTCTTGAATTTTAATATATAAAAAGTTCTACAGAAAAAATATAGATTGTCTTAAAACATTTCTGAAAAATGTTCTAATTCATATAAAAAAATGTGAGAAATTTTCTAAAAAATTATTGAAAACCTTAGTCAAATAAGGGGAACAAAAGTGCTTCCAAAAAATTTTAAACTTTTTAAATTAGAGAAACATTTCGAGACTAATTTAGGCGCAGAATTAATTTTTAATACACGTAAGTATATGAGAGAAATCGCATAATTGCTGAATTTTAATTATTATAAAATATGTCTTCGAATATATGTATTTAAATTTTGAAAAAAAATATATGACGTATGATTGAACTTTCAGTTTGAGTATGTTACTTTGATCTTTATTGTACGTTTAATAAATCATCATTAAGCACTTCAGCTAAATATGAAATCGATTATTTAATTTAATAAGATTTAAATAAAAAATATTTTAAGATCAGTATAACATTTCAGGAAAGTCTAATAATTCATCGGACAAAATGTTTTTTCAAACGAAAGCTTTTCTTAACTAACCTTTTTCCTCGATTTTTACAGCTAATATATTTAACAGCTAATTTTACAGCGAATATATTCCTTTTCGAATATATCCATTTTCACTCTATTTACTATCTCATCTGAAAATTCTTTATCTGATGATAATTATTTTCCATATTTGTGTGAAGAAATGATGCAATTCGAAAATATATTCCTGTTAGGACATTTTATTATCAATTGGTTTATTTAAGTATTTGATATTTGCATTTTTGTCATTCTATGAAAAGCTTGTTTGACAATAAATGAAGTACCAATTTCAAAAATTTTAAGAAAATTATGTTAAAAATATCAATGAATGTTCTTCTATCAAAACATTGCCTGAGTGTACGATATTCAAAAGATATCACTATGAATTTCACGTTTAAAAAATATTTTAATTTTTTTTTAGTCTTAAAATAAATTCCGCCAACTTTTTTTTTAAG